ACTCTTCTCCTTGCTGTGATTCTGTCTTTTCCCTCTTGCAATACAATAATGTTTTTATTTGAATGCAACTAACGCTGACGTCAACAGTAGCGATTTATTCGCTTTACTCCACTTTTGCCCTGAACGTAGTAAATGCAGGAGACTTAGCTTCACAGCAAAGTACCGTCACTGCCGCCTTGATATCCTGCGATACACACGCCTTGCAGCGCCAGAGTGCCGCATTGCGACAGCTCGCCTGAACTTCATCCAAACGAAATCTAGCTTGAATATTTGGAATCAATTCTTTTAAACACAATATACTCAGACACTCGGTGCGTGCAGCGCGTGCGCAATTGCACGGTGGCGACACCCAGTCTGCGGATGGCGCGCTATTGACTCCTGCGCCGCTGCATGATCGTCCGCGGACGGCTGCGATTTTAAGCGCGCGAGCGGCTGCGATTTCTTGCACGCGGATGGCTGCTATTTTGGCACGCGAATGGTCAGCATTTTCGCAGCTTCGTTTTAATCATTGACCTGCGCGCCAAATTTGAACGGCTAAACTTTCAGCGGACTAAACCTTTTAAAACCTTATTTCTGCAGAAAAATGACTGCGAAGCCTGATCAAAATTTTGCTTCCTTTCGGCTTCGTCTGTGCCAAGACTAGCGTAAAAACTGCAATGAATAAAACTTGATTGAAAGACAACATGGAAGAAATGATACGCTACTTACTCCGAGTTTTCAAAATCCACAATCGCGCGCTGTTCGTCGTACCCGTATGCCATCATATCGTCAGCAAAATCTGAACAAAAAAAGTAGAAGAGTTCCTTATCCGAAAAATCGCATACCGATCAAGGTGGTTTCAATCTCATCGGGGAGGTTTTTGAGTTTGGCGTCCCTGCCGCTTCTTCCGTTCAGCCTCAGCGATTATTCTTGAATTTGCTGAAGGGGGCTGGTGATTTAGAAAAAATAAAAAAAATATATTTTGCGTTTCATATAACCATATACTACAATTACGATAGCTACCTGCTGTAAAAGGAAACGATACAGAGATATGAGGCTCTGGGTGGTGTTGTCCTTTCTTCTCGGATTCCACTTCCCCATCCCCAAGATGTTCATCCCATTCCCCAAAACATCCCATTCCCCAAGATGTTCGGATGATCTATAGCGGTGGCATTATAAAGCAAGAAAAATATTTTTTTTACTAAAATTATGCCTTCCGGTCTTCCTGGTACTGAATGCAAGATGACTAGCTCCTCCGTAGGCATCTGTAGTCGTCTAATATGCAGGAATCCAGGTATGCCTCGTTCAAGTTCTCCTCCAAACTTTCTAAAATTATATGGCATTACTTATGAAAATTGGCTTCACTTACCTCCGAAAGCCCTTAGTCCAACATGATGTGGGGCCGGGAACTGCGTGCTGAATGGCATACCTCCACCTCCTCGCCTAGATAAAGCACTGACCAGTAAAGGATTGTTTCTAAGTTCTTGATTGACCTGGCCCACTTTCAAATGCTTGGTGCCAATACGCCTCGAGGCGAACGATAATTTTAACAGGCCTCAACCTACATTGCCTGAGGCATATACGCATTTGATGTGATAAATGACAGCATTGCAAATTTGCATGCTGATGTGAAGGCATTTGTATGATAAGAACGACTTCGTCCGTTTCGTTCCTACCCTTAGACAGACAAATGCAAAAAAGAATAAGCCTTTCTCGGAACTCAGTAAGTCAGTAAGGAAGAGAGCGTTAATAACGACAATCAACTGAAGTAAGTTCACAAAAAATACATCAAATCAAGAAAGAAAATCAAAATGAAAGTCTTAGATACAATTAAAGACAAATACTCGTAAAAAATAAAGTAAAACTTCAAAAAACGGGGGCAGGGGAGGAGGTTATTTTCAAAAAAGCTACTCGGCGTCCTTTTGGGCACGCGCACCGCTGCGCTAAAAGCTAAATCGCGCTCGCGCAGCTGCATAACAACGGAAAAGCACGCGCGCCGCGTATCCTCATATAAAAAGGCACGCGTTCGCAAATAATTCTGCATTCGCGTCAAGTATGGCGCGCGTGCATCTAGTGCGCGCGTTTGGCGCCGTGCAGGACACGCCCCCAAAATATGGCACGCGCTTTGCCGGCTTGGGCATAAAGGCGCGCGCGCTGCACGCACCGAGTGTCTGAGTAAGTTAGTTCGAGTGTTCGACTTTCTTTGGATCTTGGCATTCTTCCTTGATATGAGTATTGATTTTGCAGCTTGACCAGGATGGTATTGTTGGATGTCCCCCAAAAGACTCTAAGAGATTGTTAGTAGGAAGCCAGTTTTTGATCGCTATCGCATAACTTCCAACATGTGATTTCCTGTCATGGAAGAGTATGAGACTGCACCACGAAGTGCAGTATATTTGATTAATGCCTCCTTGCGGTAAAGAGTACATGGAAATAAAACAGTACCACCCTCTCAGTTTGTATTGAAGAGCAATTCATGTGCTCAAAAAGTCAAAATCATCCCTCCAGGGAGATCTTGATAATGCTACATTTGGGTGTAGGTCACGATCTTCTCGCAAGAGTCTCGCTCTTTGCCAGAGTATGTGAATCTGACCTACGTACCTGAGCTTTGCGTTGGTGGGCCCTCATGCCTTCAATATGCGTAATGGCTAATAGACTCACTATCGGGTGGCCTTTGGCAAAATCTCGTTAACCCCAAGGTGAGCACATCTTCGCAATTTGGAGCGTGAGTTTTGGCTTCACAATCTCGAAAAATCAACTGAAAATGCTTTTTTCGTCAGTCAGTGAGTATATAAAATCACAAAGAAAAGAAGAATTTTTGCGAGAAAAACGTCAAGCCCCTCCCCCTTCCCGACCCAACGTACCCCTGCTAACAGACTTTAGGGCTTGTAGTAAAACCCTATCTAGTCATGACGACTCGCTTGGAGCGCGGCAAATGCCCGGCAAATGTCTCGCTGCTGCCGCCCCATGATAAAGGATAGGCGACGTGACTGAGGTATATGCCCGGCGTAACGCCGCGGCAGCACCAGCATGCCCGTCGCGGAGACAGTCGAGAAATAGTGCGTCTTCATTGGAGACGCAAAGAGGTGGTGGTGCAGACAAATGACTAGCGGTCGAGTACGTCCGGGGTGGCGGTGCCGGCCGCTGTCCGTAGATGCACGCAAAGGATCGAATTGCACGTCTAGATGAAGACATATTCATTCCCTAAATCCCTTGATTCTAGTTCGTTTTCGTTTTCATCTAATCTGTTTAAGCATGAACCGTTCGTTTTTCACTCTTGCTTTCGTACTCGAGATAATGCTTTTCGTTGCAGATTTGGTGCAATCCTAGCAATACGCACGCAAGGTCGACAAATCAAGAATTGGAATCATCCAGGCCGTTATTTTGGAAGAAAAATTGCGGTCGACAAAGGTTGGATTTTGATACATATTTAGCTTTGTGCTTCATCTGTTTTTGTTTCGTTATATTCGTTTTTGTTTATGTGCGCTAAAGGATTTGTACGTTTCAATGTTTAGAGGGGGCGCTGCAGGGTGACCCGAGCCAAGCATCGGCTTGCACCGGGGGGGGGGGGGGGGGGAGAGCATCGCTGTCTCCACGTAATATTAGGTCGTTTCCAAAGTAATTTCGCTTTTTTCAAACGGGCGCCACATTTGATGGAACAAAGGTTTCCAAGAGGTCTTGGAAGCATTCGATGCAGCATTTCATTCTTTTTCTAATGGTTATGAAGTTGTAGCAAAATAGTCAATGAGCCTTCTGAAAATAACCAAAATCTGCGACCCATGCTTTTTGAGATGGTCAAGTTCCACGATTTTTCAAGACTTTCATATCAATCCTCAGAAGGAGCTCAAGCAACGATTCGATAGAGTAGACCTTATGAAATACAGTACCTTTTTTTCTTTCTCGTAGCTCGCCGTAATTTTCTAGAAAATTTTTTAACAGAACCATGGGATTTTGGCAGGCTCACCTCAGCCACAATCGCATCAAACATCATGATTTTTCGAAGTTTGAGGCTACCAAGATAGTACCATGAGTTGGCATTGATTTTACAAAGCAAATGAGGGTTTACGGGTTCGAAATATCAAATTTCGAGTTTTTCGGGTACAGCCTGGAGCTCGCCAAATAAATGAGTTATGATGATATTATCCCCGAAAACTAAACGAATCGGAAACAAAAAAACATCTGTTAGAAAGAGGAGAAAATGCTGCATCGGATAGTGCGCGAGCTGCTCTTCCATTGATGTTCTACGAGGATTTAGCTGCCCAAGTATGGAAATCGGTAGTATCAGTTAAAATTCTGTTAAAAATGTATGACAAGCTATGGAAAGGAGAAAAAAGTAGTACTGTATTCTATGAGGTTTACTCTATCGAATCGTTACTTGAACTCCTTCTGAGAATTGATATGAAAATTTTGAAAAATCGTGAAACTTGACCATCTCAAAAAACATAGGTCGCAGGTTTTGGTCATTTTCTGGAAGCTTATTAATTGTGTTGCAACAATTTCATAGCCACTAGAAAGAGAATGAAATGCTGCATCGAATGCTTCCAAGATCTCTTAGAAACCTTTGTTTCATCAAATGTGGCGCCCGTTTGAAAAAAGCGAAATTACTTTTGAAACAACCTAATACATTGCATAATTGCGCGTTCTTTTTTGAAGTCAATGGGCTAGTATTTGAAAAGGTTGCTAATCTAAGTATACAGTATAGTGAATATGTTAAGTATACATATGTTTTTGACTCTGTTTCTTTGAGGTCTTTCGTGTCTGTGCTCAAAAGACACAACAACAGTGATCTCAAACAACGGAATCAGTGCTGCCGCAAGAACAAATTTGTTTGTTTAGCATTTGAAGAGGATTTTGCCTACATGTCGCTTTTCAATATAGCTGTAAGTTTGTCGATTAATCTACGAAGATCCATTTTATTGTTGGGAAGCACGGGAAAATTAAAATGTTTTGAAGGGACCCGATTTTTAACATGTGAACATGTTGCGCATTTTGTATTTCTTGATTCACAGGTTGGAGACGAAATGAAAGAGGGAGGCAGAGCTCTAGCTAAACCTGTATCGGAAATCATCATGGAAGAAACGCTAAAGCGAAAAGAAACCCTCTCGGAGCTCAGCTCAACACGTAGTGTTGACGCTAATAGGCGGAAGCTCAAAGCCTGGGCAGAAATTCAGGACACAGTCCTGCTTCAGTGCAGGAAATTGATGTCCATAGCCCAGATAAAACGGGTCTGGAGAGGGCGAAAGACGCACGTGCGGGACGTACTGTTAAGAGAAAAAAGGTTATGAAACTGATGTATAGAGAATCATAGGAATTTTGAGTTTTTTGCAGATACAGGAGCGCAACCGGAGGCGGCTGCGACTTCAGCCTAGAACGAGATCTAGCTAAGGCCTCTGCTTCCTTGACTGAAGCCGAGATCAAGCTGGCCCGGTGTCTTGGAAAAGAGGCTGTGATGTGTGGCCTCGGCCACATGGAGACTTTTGTAGATAGGGTAAGTTATCGGAATCTTGATTTCTTTATGCATTATTGCATATACCAGGGGTTGATAGCGATTCTATGGATTCGATGGAGGCGAAAGGACGCGAAGCTGGTGGGCGGGCAGAAAGAAGTAGGGGGGAGGACGGAGGGAAGGAGGGGAGGGTTCCGTCAATTATGAAGGGCTTATATTCTAAGCATAAGGTAAGAAGTGAATGAAAGATATATACTTTGTACATTGTTGCATTTCAGGGAGTTTACAGCGATTCCACGGAATCAGCTTTGGAGGGCAATTTCAATGGCTGGAGGGATGGTGGGCGGGCAGCTAGAAGGAGGGAGGAGGACGGAGGAAGAGAGAGGAGGGTTCCGTCTGATTCAAAGGACTCGTGTAATATGCAAAAGGTGAGAAAGTGAGCCCACCCTCTTCTTCCGATTATCATCGCACTGCTAATTTCAGCGTCGACTTGGAGAGCTTAGTGACGCCTCCTTGGAGGAGTGTGAAATCGAGAGGGTGGGTGGGCTGCCACAACGATATGCTGAGGAAGAGGGGAGGGAGGGAGGGGTAATCTCCTCACCTCCGCATCACTCCAGACGAACTGGAACGTATACGCCGAAAGAGGGTGTTACAGCAGCTTGAAGATGTAAGTTACCATATTCTCATCGGCGCAGTCATTATTATCACATGTTTTCCAGTTTGCTCCGACTCGAGCAGCCCGTCCGACAGGCGCCGCCGTACATCGTATACTCAAATCGCTCGAATGCAAATGGAGGTTCTGAAGGTAAGGGCGTGTAATACTGATGCCATTCATTGCGTACAGCTAAGTTTCCAGGAGGAACAAACTTTGCTTACCAAATTTTCACTAGACAAGATTGTCGCTGTTCTGGATAGGCACCTGGAGTTGACGTCTATCGCATGCGAAAGACGACTGGCTGGTCGGAGGCTCACCTCAATCCTCAGACAAAGCCAAGTTGGAATCCCGCTTCAGGGGATCCCAACTTGGCTCTGTCTGAGGATTCGAGGTCGTTTTTGTAAATATGTTGTTTGTTGGTACTGTTGCATTTTCTGTCAATAACTGTTGACAATATATTGTTGTTGCGTGCAATGTTGTCTGTTGATAATAAATCTCACTGCGAAAGCGTCTAACACTTTCAAAAAACAGTAACAATCTCGCACGAAGCTGGCACGGGCTGGCACGAAAACCGCGGAGATCTCAAATCCGAATGTATTGAAGACGGCGTACGTGGCACAAACCTGGCACGATACTGGCACGGGGTGGCACGGAGCTCTTAGTGCTCCCAAGTCGTAATAGAATAATCCCAGTAAATAATACTGCTTTGTTGTTGTCATACATGATATAAATCTTCAATAAACCCAATAAGACTAAACTAATAAACTCTAAGAATTATTACTCGACAGCAAAATGAAGAGAAATTAACCCTGCACATCTCCCGCCTACGGCGCAGGGTGGTAGCAAGAGCGTCGGGGTACTCAGGGCGCTTTTCTGATCGGACAAAAACGATACGTCTGCCCGGACGACACGCCATGGAGACGGCCTCTGCTCTGCTACAACGCTAGGACAGTCTCCACAAACGACGACCTCCACGCTCTTCTCGACGCTGCATAGCATATCAACTACCACATCATCGCTCTGCAGGAAACGAAGTCCAGGAAGAAGGACGTGCGACAGATGAGTCATTAGACGGACGGACGCTCATTATTCGTGGTGAGAAAGTCCAATCACGAAACGTTGAAGGCGTTGGCTTTGTCGTCCACCCATCTATCGTCCATCTTGTCGATTCGCAGGAGGTCCTGTCACCTCGACTAGCCATCCTACGACTACGCCCTCCACGTCAGAAAACCATTAGCATCATCAACTGCTACTCACCAACATCAGCAGCTGACCAATCAGAACAGATGCTTTCTACGAAGACGTGGAGGAGGTCGTCCGCAACGAAAAGTGTTTCTACAAGTATGTTGTGGGCAACTTCAATGCGAAAATCGGGATGCCACTAGAAAAGGAATATAGGATCGGGAAGTTTGGATATGGGCTCCAAAACGAAAACGGCAACCGTCTCGTTGGGCTTCTCTCCGCCGCACGACTCTTCCATGAAAACTCCATCTTCATGAAGAAAGAACATCGCCGGTGGACTTGGGAATCGTCCAACGGAACGACTCATGCTGAGATCGACCATATTCTCACCAACCGAAGATGAAGCTTGCTTGATTTCTCAGTAGTTCATCCTTCTGCAGTGGCTCCGATCACCGCCTCCTTCGAGCGAAGATACGATTCAGTCGCAGGCTAGAAAAGAAAGCCTGTCGCAGTACCGCAAGATGAAATAAAGTCGTTTATGACGGTAACAGTCTGGAAGAGCTCATATCAAGATGTGGCCCATCGAGGAGGACCCAACGTACGAATACGACCAGCTTCTGAAAGGAATTGCGAGCCTGCGGAGAGTGCGCCTCATTACTTCTGAGAAGAATTTGGAACGTATTTCGAGGACCATCAAGAAATTGCCCGAAAAAAAAAGATTTCTGAGGCAGGATCCGAATGCAACTCACTCAAGCAAATGATAGCCAATGCCAGTTGCAGAACAGCTTTACAGGAGGATCTCAGAAAGTACAGGCAAGCCAAGATACTGAAAGCAGCCGAAGGAAGACGAAGTCTTAAAGGCAGTGGATTGGCAAAATCCAACAACTCCGGATTTTAACGCGGTAGGTTCCTTATCGCTTAAGTATGAGAACAGTGCAATCCCGGTTGCACAGCATGCTTTCCCTGCCGAGAAAATCGCTGTCGAACTTACACGCGCAGGCCAATCTTACACGCATCTGGACGAGTTGACAATTTCCTTCTTACCATTGGAGGCTGCCCGCCGCAACGCTGTAATCATTGGGTCCTGCCACGATTTAGCGTCATCGGCCTTGCTCCACTCGTCCAATTCCAAGGGGAAAGGCATTAAAAAACGCTCTTTTTCGCCGTTTTCAAACTTTCAAAAGTAGTTTTTCGGGATCAGCGTATTGAAAAACCCCAGGTAAGCTCAAATTCGACTAGGTTGAGATTTGCCGAGCCACTGCCCTTAAGAAGTGCCGAAGGGACCTCTGTAATATCACTTATCGCTGGCTGCACTATTGAACGAAGACGAGACTTAAATTTCTTCCCGTATAGAAGTTCTTCGCGATAGATTCCATCTATCGCGAAGAAGTTCTCTACAATCTCTTCCGCTCATCAACACCCGTGCCGATGTCCGTTGTTTCCACTGGAGAGGTACCACCAAGGATTTTGCCTGCTAAAGTGCGTATCGCGATACAGACCATAAAAACGTCTCGGCTCCAGGACCAGATTACCTTTCGGTCGAACTTCTCAGACAGTCGATAGGACCCCTCCGGCGAACAGTCGAAATCTGCCAGAGCCGCGGCGGACCCAGTTGACTAATGAGAGCGGGGCGAGGGGGGCGTGACGTCACAAAGAAGGCAGATCGGACCCCTCCGGCGAGCTTGCAAATCTCTCCGCCGCAAGTATGCCAGATTTGCTGGAGTCGCGGCGCAGAGATTTGCCCGCCGGGAGTCCGCCAGATTTGGAAAGCCGCGGAGCAGTAAATCGGAGGGGTCCGGCGCACAAAATGGGAGGGGTCCGGCGCACATATATGTATGCAGTCAATTTGCTGTGATACGCAGCTTAGCATTTTCGAAAACAAGTTGCCGTCGCTCTCGTCTTACTCGTTTTTTGTCGTTCTTTCGCGCCTGTTTTCCTTTTTTTGGTTTTTCGTGTTCCTCGTCGGCGCGCTGGCGTTTAATTGTTCATGTCCTTCTTTTCAGGTTTCAGGTTTTAGGTTTTCGTGCGGATGCACTTAGTCACTTTTAGTGTTTGGCTCTTTTCGACTTGCTGAGACATCGTTGACTATTGATGGAGTGGTTTTTGCGATTGAGATTCGGCCTCGGTACCCTTACGTGGTGTCTCTTGAATTATTTCCGTGTTTTCGGGATCGATTGATGCTAGAATTATCCGTACACTGCTTGGCTCTGTCTCACGGAATATCTTATACGGTTAGCCTGTCGCATTCTTGCTATATGCAGATCTGCTATGCAAGTTCATGCAACTCTTTCACATTTTTCAGTATATCGTTTACTTACAGTTTACCTGTTAGAAATTGTGACAGGCGCCCAAGAAATTTTCATCTTTTTTCGAGATTCCAAGTTCTCAGACTTTGCACAAAGTCATAACATGCAGGGAAAGTCTGTGTCCTTGTTTCGATGATAGACAAGCCTTCAAATTTGCAATCCAGCGTGAGGGTCACTCTAGGAGAAAAGGTCCACAGAAACGTCTACGTACCGTTCACCGCAAACCCAACTTTACGTAGCTGCAGGTGAGAGTTATCACAGTGAAGGTGAGTGGTACATTCTACGAAGTGCTCATTTTTTAGCTTGAATTTGTAAGGTCCAAAACCTCGATCCGATCTTCATGACGGATTTTCGATGTCACTTTAAAGTAGGAAACGTTGAACGCGAAAAACCTGCTGTTGGGACATTCGACGACAATGTGATATGAGGAAAATTGCAATTGTTTTGATTTTGCATCCAATTCTGTTTGTGCTTGTGATGAGATGCAGTTCGATCACTACGGGCTTGGTTATCGGGAGGAACAGCTCCGGTCAAGTTTAACGTCGTGTGGTCCTCGAGCGATTCTTTCAGAAAACACACTCTGGATAACATTGGTGGAGTGCCCGTACTCGGAATTTTTTTAGTGATAGATGTCGTAATTAGTGGTTTTTCCAGGTTTATAAGCGCGAAGCTCTTGCATCGAACTGTGGCCAATATCTTATGCTGAATGCTGAAAAGTATGAATGTGGTTGGTGTGTTATAGACAACAGATGTGTCAGACCAATGGCATGCTTGGCAAGATGCTTGGCAAGGTACGTTTAGTTACTGGTTCACTTGTCTCATTACACATGGTCACCTCACCTGATAGTACTTTCTCGCGAGTAAAAGCGACAGTGAGCGCAGCAGCAGTAGACCTAACCTTCGTTTTTCCACCGACGGGTCCCTTTTTAGGACTGAAGTCTTCATTAGCTGGATTTGCACACAGCTGCGTGCTATTCAGCCAATCTTGTAGTGATCTTGCCAAGCATGCCATTGGTCTAACACATCTGTTGTCTATAACACACCAGCCATATTCATACTTTTCAGCATTCAGCGTAAGACATGGGTCACAGTTCGATGCAAGAGCTTCGCGCTTATAAACCTGGAAAAACCACAAATTACGACACCTATCACTAAAAAAATTCCCTATTAACCTCCACGGCCACTTCACCAATGTTATCCAGAGTGTGTTTTCTGGAAGAATCGCTCGAGGATCACACAACGTTGAACTCGACCGGAGCTGTTCCTCCCGATAACCAAGCCCGTAGTGATCGAACTGCATCTCATCACATCTGGCACAAACAGAATTGGATGCAAGTCAAAAAAAAAACTGCAATTTTCAGTAAATCGTTTTGCAGTCAATTTGAAATAAATGTTTCGTCTTGTCTTCATTCTTCTATTTTCTATCTACAAACGCTAGGGGTGAGAGGGAGGGGGTAGAGTACGGGGGTGAGGGTCGCGCTGAAGTCCTACCCGGGGGGGAGGGGGTCGTATTCGGCTAA